AAAAGTGTAGAAAGCGTGAGTGGCAACGATTTGATGTGTGGTTGTTTTGTTTGTGCGGTTTTAAAAAAGGCTGAATTGTATGTAGTTCTCCTTTTATGTTCAATTTCCTCTCTTTGATTTTGTAGGAACTGGAATACCAGAAGAAGCGACCGCAGGAGCTGGGCGACAAGTTTGTGTCTGTGGTGAGCCAGTTCATCACGGTGGCCAGCTTCAGCTTCTCCGACGTCGAGGACTCTCTCACCGAAGCCAAAGAACTGGTAAGAAAGTGTTTGAGCAGCCTGCAGAGCCGTAGGCAGTGAAAGCTCGCGTCCCGTTTCCTCCCTGCGCAGCTGTTTCTACAAGCGGCATTGACCTCATCAGTCACCTTTCTAGGAAAGCTAACAGCAGGAGCGAAGCCTTTCAGCTTCCTGCTGCAGTGCCACCGACACTTTACTGGTCATGCGTGCAGGTCAACAGTGAAACCAGGAACAGAGGCTCAGATAGTGTTTCACACGGTGGCGCAGACAGTGTGTGTCCTGGGGATTTGATTACACCTGCCAGCTGCTTTACCGTGTCATTTTATTGATGCGTTTATCATCCTAACTGTGCAACACAATCACAGCAATAAAGCCAAAGAAGAAACACGTCTGGGTTTTGTGGGGAATGGACTCCATTAAACCATTACTGCTAGAAACCTGAAGAAATTCACATTTCAAAGGCGAGTTGGACACACTGACATTAGATTTATGTCCGTCGCCCTTTGAAGCAGGAAGAGTTTTTTTTATCTCGAGCATGTTTTTCGGCCCTCGGTGTGTTTGCTGCATTGACCCAAGCGCTCAGCTGGTCACATGGCAACCATTAGTTTCTGTGAATCATTTACGGTGTCCCACAGTTAAATATTTGAGAGTGTTTACAGTGGTCCTCTGTGCTCATGATTGGGAACAAGAGAACCTGCTGACCCTCTAAACAGCAGCTCACTGCATCTGGTTTGTGTATATGTGCGTATAATAAAAGAGAACATAAAAAGGAAAAAAGGGACATTTCAGGTCTTTTTGTTGTACATCACAGAAATTATGTTTCAATGATTCTTTGTTGTGAGGAGGAATAAAACTGCATTTGAATGTGCTGCATATTGAGGAGAAGAAAACGACTCTACATCGTTTAAATTCAACTTTGCTTCACCTGATCGGGTCTGCGTGTCACGGACAGAGCTGCTGTTAACATACACATTTTTGAGGGTATATGTTCTCAGCGTGATCTCACATCTGGATGTCCTCCTTTTTAACTTACTGTGAAAAACACCCAACAAACACATTGCCTTAATTTGGGCTCTGGCTCCAGTCTCCGACCTCAGCTGCAATCAGTAGCCGGTCAGATCTGGGTTAACGCGGGCTTCAAAGCCCCACTACTGGTACCCAGCTCTGATTTCAAAGAGCTGAGACCTAATGAGTCTCCTGTAAAACAGTCAAAGACGGAGTTAAACATGGTTCTGCTGTGTCCTGCTGTAAATCTAATCCCATGTGCCCCTCTCGGTGTGCCGCCTCTCTCCCACAGTTCCTGAGGGCAGTAAAGCACTTTGGCGAGGATGCCAGCAAGATGCAGCCAGATGAGTTCTTTGGCATCTTTGACCAGTTCCTGCAGTCGTTCGCGGAGGCTCAGCAGGAGAACGAGAACATGCGAAAACGCAAGGAGGAGGAGGAGCGCAGGGCCAAAATGGAAGCTCAGGTATCTGATCCATCCGTCTTTCCATATGATGCTCGACAAACAACCGCAGCTGCTGTAAAACACTTATTTAGCATCTTTAAGCCTTTAGATCCCACAGCGCCTGCTGTTCAGCAAAAGCCTCACTTGAAGAGAATCGCTCGACATTTTAGGAAATACACATATTTGCTTTCTTTCTTCAAATTGGATGAGGATGACTCTGCTCTGTGTGCAGTAAGCCAGCAGCTGTTTAGCTTAGCTTAGCTTAGCATGTGACTGGAGACATGGAGAACGGCTAAACCAGGCTCTGTTCAAAGGTATAAACATCTGCCTGCACCTCTACAGCCCACCTATCAACACATGATATATTAAATATCATATATTTGTATCATCCAGCAAAAACAGAAGTGAAAACACAATAAGTTCTGCATTTTTTGAGGATGTAGGTACGTAGCTGTCTTTTTCAAATTGGGGTGCTAATGATTAATTATTAATCAGCGATTGCTTTTAATAGTTTAAACAGTTAAAAATATAATAACCGATAGAACATGAGGGACATGCATGTTAGAAAATGTCCTGTGCATTAGCTGCAGTGCCTGGCTTCATTACAAGTGGAGTCTCTTACTGTTTAACGATGGAAGACCGCAGCTCATTTGCCGTGTTTTAATCCTGCAGCAGCCGAAGGAGGCAGTCGCTCGAGCTGCAGGCGGCACAGCGCTGGCAAGCACAGAGAACCACAGGATTGTTAATGCTCACGTCCAAACTCTTCAACGACCAGTTTTGTGGTTTCTATTTGTGTTTGAATTTTGATTGTTGTGGGTGCGTGAGGTGGTTTTTTAGTGTTTGTGTGGCCGAGAGTTAACCTCGCAACGGGCCACCACGACAGAGACCGCTGTGGCGGTTGATGCCTCACAGTCGGTGTCCTCGAGTTGTTAAAAAAAAAAAGGCCAAGTTTACCGGAACAGCATTCCTGAGGCGGACCAGTTAATAAAGACGAGCTGATTGTGCAGCAAACATCATCTTCAGTTAAACTGGTTTTATCAGCTCAAGGAAAAACAGCCACTGTTTAACAAATAATCAGCTGATTGATAATGTGATCAACTATTGGTTACAAGAATTGTTTAAAATTTGCATCCCTATCTCTGAATCACATTGACCAAACACTAGAAAGCAGGCATATTTTCCAACCTTTGGACAGAGCCAATCTGTTTCCAGTCTTCATGCTATGCTAAGCTAACAGGGTATTTATCTTTATAGCTGACTCAGCAAGAAAATTTCTTTAAATGTCATATTTTCATTTCTGTGTCTCCAGCTCAAAGAACAGAGGGAGAAAGAGCGAAAGGCCCGGAAAGCAAAAGCAAACGGCGAGGACGACGGAGGCGAGTTTGACGACTTGGTGTCGGCGCTGCGATCAGGCGAAGTCTTTGACAAGGACTTGTCCAAGATGAAACGTAACCGCAAGCGGATCAACAACCAGAGCACGGACTCGAGCAGAGAGCGACCGGTCACAAAGCTCAACTTCTAAACGTGGTTCAAGTCGTGAATGCGCCTCCCACCTCTGTTCATCATAAGTTTCCTTCTGGGTCGAACTGACATGCACATTCCTCCTCCTCCACTCCCGCCCAGCTCGGCTTCAGTAAACCACGGCCTTGCATCATCGCAGCAGAGCCGCACACAGCACAACATGTTTGGACCTTTCATCCTCTGACGTTTTCATGTGAAATGGAGCAGAAGCCAAAAAGTTGATACCGTGCGACCAAATCCGATAATTCCCGCCGGAGGATCAGTTTAGTCACGCCAGAGAACAGTTTCCCTCCAGGTCTTAAGAGATGCTTGTTGGATAGGAAACGTTCTGTGCTGTTTTTGTACGTCAGAATCTATGCACAGAGTGAAAATGTGCAGCTAGGTGACTCCTTCAGGGCTGGAGGCTGGATCCAAACAGGAAGATGATTCCATTAGAAACACAAGGGGCCATTTTGTACAGACTGATTTCGTAGATTGAGAGGGGCTGCTTTCACCTCCCTGAATATTCCAAGAGATGGTTATCGGAGAACCTGAACTTCCTGTAAAACGCTGCCGCTCTCTTGCAGTCACAACCATCGCGGGACCGAGACGCCGCGCCGTCAGACAGATTTTACCTGCGAGCGACGCAGCTGAGAAGCAGAGTTTTGTTTTTCCTTCTTTTTCTATTCATCATTATTGACGTGCAGCATTTATATATCTGATCACTGTATGTTTTATTTGAACATTTTCCTGTTAAGAGCTGGCCTTAACTCTGTTGATTTTCATTGTTGAGTGGGTACTCTCCAAGGCCTGGGCCTAATCTGCAATTTCTCAACAAGCGTGAACACTCTTGTCATAGATTACATATATACATATATATAAAGGTGTGTGCTTGTTCCACATGCACATAGGAGTTAATAATTACTATGCTAAATGCCATTAAAACCACACCCAGTCGATGCAATACACTCGTTTCTCCCCCCCCTCTGAAGAGAGTGCCCTCCTTTCATGTTTTTATTTCAATAGATGAAATATGTTTTCTGCACGCTGGCTGGATTTACACCGCGGTTGAAAAAAAAGAAAGAAAGAAAAAACAAACAAAACTCAGATTTTACACTTTGGTCCATATGTGATGCTTTCATTCCTGCGTCACATATGAACGTTTAGCTTCTGGTTTTAATTTGTCCTTCCAGCTGTGTGAATCCCTCCAGCGTCCGACGCCTCAACTGAACTTTTATAATTTAAATATTGCCTTCCATTGTACAATGACCTGATGATAATAATAAATGGGAGAAAACTGTTTTGAGTGTGTGCATTCAGTTTAGCAGCTCATGTACACCACATATATCATCACAGCTGGAAACTGGATGTAGAAAAAGGGGATGGGATCGTCTTTCTATGCGACTGAAACTCTTCCCGACCCCGACAGCAACCGGACTGGTGGCTCCATCTAGTGGTGAGTTACTGCTACACAACAATGTCCAACTGGTGACGTTACAACCTGCAAACTTAAACCAGTTCTCCCTTTAGGTTCACAACGAAAGCACAAACATCTCGTCACGTTCAGACAGCAAAGGTCAGTAAAAGTTCTTTATTAATTATTACAGAAATGTCATAATTCTGTGTACAAAAAATAATTCAGTTATCCTGGATTTGTGTGCGTTTTGTTTCAGTCACATCGAGCTATTTTCCATTTAGTTTTTCTACTAAACATAACTCAAGACAAGATAATTATTCAGAGATCTTTATGAAAGGTTGACAATTCTACCCACAATAAGATTTACTATCCAGGTTTTTCAGCTACAAAAGCACCTTGTTGCATTAAAGTCTGGAATGTGTTTCCTATGTGGAACTATGTTTAACCAGAAATCCTGTAGCTGACGCTCACTTCAGCAGAAAACCGTGCGTCAGTTCGTCTTCGGGCTCCTGCACGAAGCGAGAAACTCCGGTGTAAAAAGCTCGGCCAGCGACTTCCACCACGACCGCCTTGAAGTCTCCACACTTGGTCTCCTGAAGAGAAACACAAGATCACAAACGAACCAGGACTAAACCAGTGTGTTATTTTTAAGGGCTGATACCAATAATTAGTCATGAAGGAGATTAATAACTGATAGTTGAAACCAACATACAGCTGCAGTGAAAGTTAACATCTTGGTGTTTTGAATGACAAAACATTCATTTGTTATTTTACATATTTAAACATTTTTTTAATCCACTTTTTAAACCATCCATCCATCATCTCTACACCTTAATCCTAACAAGGGTCATGGGGGGCTGGAGTCTATCCCAGCTGACTCAGGGTGAAGGCAGGTTCACCTGGACAGGTAACCAGTCTATCACAGGGCTACACTTAGAGACAGACAACCAAGCACACTCACATTCACACCTACGGACAATTTAGCATCACCAATTAACCTCAACATGTTTCTGGACTGTGGGAGGAAGCCGGAGAACCCGGAGAGAACCCACGCTGCACGGGGAGAACATGGAGACTCCACATAGAAAGATCCCGGGTGTTCTCACCGGGACACGAACCGGCAACCTTCTAGCTGTGAGGCAATGATGCTAACCACTGCATCACCTTACAGCCCAATTTTTTAAATCATGATCCAGTTAAAAAAAAAAAAAAAAACTAAACACATTATCGGAAGTGATGCTGAATATCGTGAAAAACCCCTGTTTATAAATTTAATAGACAAAAAGCACTTTTCTCTGTTCAAGTAGTTTTGTATATCAGCTCAATGAAAAAGTGAATTCACATGAAGTCAATTTATCTCTAAATCGTAGCGATGCACACGTAATAAATATGTTAACAAACTACAACCAGGATGGTTTAAAGAAACTTTAAATGGTTCAACACTGAGACAAAATGAAATGTTTCAAAATAAAAGTCCACTCAGCAGGCAAAAAAGATCAGTTAATAAAAAATGTACTTCCTGTTTAGACTATTTAAGTCTATTATTGTAACCTAATATGCACAGAAAGTGTCTGCAGCAGAACATATGAGTTTAAGTCTCAACCTAAAACAGTGACAGTTGAAACAGAGAAAAACATTAAGAAAATCAGTTTCACAGTGGATTTCACATAAAGGTTTTTGAATCAGTATCAAAACCTCAGTTTAGTTATTCTGCATTTTTTACAGCAGTTTGTCTGACGTGCTTCCACCTGCAGGGACGAACAGACTGATTCTGTCTCAGGCTGATTCTGACCTTTGGTGAATCACTCACGCTGACGGACAGTAAACCCAGAGACCTTTCAGTCACTTCACTCTAATTAGCACACATGCAGGAGCAGAGATCAGCCAACCAGAGCCTCTGGATGAAGGGATGCTATCATTTAACAGTTAAAAAGTCAATCAAACTATTGAATTTTACTGAATTTCGACATCAATCTGAGACCATAAAAAAGCCTAAAATTATACATATCCACAGCAAATTTAGATCTATAGTGAGTCTATATTGATCAATAAGTTTCTTCTGTTTGGAAATGACATAAATGAAAAAAGGTAGTAAGAGATTAACTTCAGCTATTTCTATGGTTATATTTAGTTTTTTTGAACTGAAAAAAAAAATGCAGCTTCTACATGATCCTGAGTCGTCCTGGTCACTTTCTGATTCTCTATAACCTGTGAACAGCTGATGCAGTAGTTCTCCAGTCAGTTACTGGTCAGTTACAGACCAGAGAGCTTCGTGAGCTTCCTGAGCTTCCTGATAGGTTGCTTCAGTGACAGAGCTGCACACTGCGGCTGCTCACAGCTCTGAATGAGGCTGTAAAGCTGAATCCAAGTGTTTTTAGGTGCCAGTGGCCACAGTGCAAAGCTTCATCAAAAAGTACGAGTTTAAAATTGTTATTTTTTGTCGATGATACAAAAGAAGAAAGCCTCTGCTACCTCGACAGCTTTTCCTGTGAACTGGGATCCAGTAGCTCCGCTCTGAAACGTCCTGGTCTGGTTCAGCCCGATGAGACCTTTGTGATGCTGAAGAGCAACTCGAGCTGTAACACCAGAACCAGTGGGGCTTCGGTCCACCTGAGAACACAGCGTTGAGTTAAAGGTGCAGCAAGATTCTAAACATAAATAGCATGAGAGCTTTAATATAGCAGCAAACAAGGATCTGCCCTGCAAGAATATAGTCTGGTAACAGCCTGGCCACGCAACCGTGTTAGTGCAGGTGAGTCCGTCCTACTGAGACTGTTAATGAACACCTTGGTTCTCTTAGCTCCGCCCACTTCGATGACGAATAGTTGAAATACAAACAAGCCAGAGCTGTTCCCCTTAGAGCAGACCACCATGTTCTGCAGGACAGGCTGGTTAAATGAGACTAAGACGGTTCTAGCAAACCAGAAGGCAACTTTTAGTCCTTTTGCTTTTGTATTTTTACAGCAGGTACCAATTCACTGCTTTTACAACTTCTAGAATTTTTACCACTTTAACTTTTCAACTTATTTTTTTTTAATGCTAAATTCATATTTAATAATTTGCTCCAACAATCATTCAGCTTCAAAGAGCAAATTCAACTGATCCTAATAATTACAAACATTTATAAAATGACACCAAATGTGATGATTTTATTGGACAAAAACTGAATAAAACATTCTCAGAGCGTCACATGACGAGGTGAGACCCACGACTAAGATACCTGAGCTTCTGCAAACACACAGACGTTGGCGGTGGGTTCGGGGGAATAATCGTCTTTGCCGTCGGTGAGGATGGTGCCGTACAGGAAGGCCAGATCATCGCTGGTCGGGTGATGCAGCTTCACCTAATAAAATCAAGATATACACAACGTATTCTGTTCCTGAAACGTTCCCAGTTTTGAGCCAAAGAAAACCTCGACCCCACTGACACAAACACAGCACACATCTCAGCAACAGTCCTGCGGCTGAACTTCTTCAGTCAGTTTCTTAAATCAGAGTGTTTCCCAGGAGAGTCGGAGCTGTCCACAAACTTCTGACCATGACTTCATGGGTGACATCAAACTGTGAGATCATGTGGTGCTAAAACTACAATCACATAACCGTTACCAGATGTTGGCCTCAGTGTAAAGGCTCCTCCTAAAAACGTCTATTTTGGTCCTGATCAGTAATGACTGGCTCAGCAACACAAATACCCCCCAACTGTACTTACATACAAGTTTAAGGTGCTTGTATAAAGTAGTTCAAACTGTCTCCCCCTGCTGCCGACACACTGATGCTTCACTACAAATAATCTAAAGATGTTGTGACATTTTGCTGCTAAAACTTAGAGACTTCGACTTTATTATTCCCCAGAAGGAAATCCGGGTGTTACAGCTGCATGAATATTCAACAAAGGGGGTAAACAAGAGCAAAAAGACGACACAGAATATTAGGGTGGGGTAGAAATGAAGGCTTATTGTAGAAATCGGTCCTCCTTCATTCAGGGTTGCACCTATCATTTATTTTCTTAAAGATATTTTTTGGCCTTTTTAGATAGGACAGAGAGAGACGGGAATGTGGGGGGAGAAGAATCTGCAGCAAAGGGCCATGAGCGGGACTCGAACCCACTACCACCGCGTCAGGGACTGTTGCCCCTGTACATGGGTCTGTTGCCCCTTATATGGGACTGTTGCCCCTATACATGGGACTGTTGTCCCTTGTATGGGACTGTTGCCCCATACATGGGACTGTTGCCCCTATAAATGGGACTGTTGCCACTATACATGGGGCTGTTGCCCCTCTACATGTGACTATTGCCCCTTATATGGGACTGTTGCCCCTATACATAGGCCTGTTGCCCCTATACATAGGTCTGTTGCCCCTTATATGGAACTGTTGCCCCTATAAATGGGACTGTTGCCACTATACATGGGGCTGTTGCCCCTCTACATGTGACTATTGCCCCTTATACGGGACTGTTGCCCCTTCTATGGGACTGTTGCCCCTATACATGGGACTGTTGCCCCTACACATGGGACTGTTGCCCCTATACATAGGACTGTTGCCCCTATACACGGGACTGTTGCCCCTATACATGGGACTGTTGGTCTTGTACATGAGACACCTGCTCAACCAGGAGAGCTATATGCGGCCCCAACATTTTTTTTCATCGTTGATTAATCTGTAGAATATTTTCTTGACTAATTGATTTCCATCCTCACCTCGTCGTGTCCACAACCCAAAGATAATGAGTTTGCTGTCATAGAGGAAAGAAACCACAAAAGTAAAGTTGAGACTGATTTAATCGTCAACAACTAATTGAACTGTTGTTTTCAGTTCTACCTTCATTTGCCTCTAAGTAAGGATTTAATGACGTATGCTATTCTAATTCTTAGATTTCCAAACTACAGCTGTCTCCTGTAATATTCTTTTCATTTTAAATATCTGACTAAATTCAGACAGAGGTGGACATCATCTCATCATCTCCCTCATCGAGGATGATGTGAGCAGCAGCACCACCTGGACGCTGGTGTTCTTCTCTCCAGTTCAGTACAACACAGACGTCCTACCTGAGCCTTGACAGCTTTGGTCACTGCTGTGGCTGCATCCACCAGATCTCGAGTCCTGGACTTGGTCACGTCCAGACCAAACCTCTGGGCGTCAACGAAGGCGTAAAAGGCTCCTCCATAGCTGATGTCCACCGTCACCTCGCCGAAGCCCTCCACCGCCACCGTCACATCTGGGGAACAGCCACGTAGGTTAGAAAATAAAAACTTGGAACATCTCAGCGTCTTGTGGGTGAACAATGAATCCACCTACCTGTAGCGAAGGCAAACGCAGGAACACTGAGGAACCTCACTGCTCCCGTCTTCCCCTCAGAATACTGCACAAAGGCCTTCACCAGCCCACAGGGGCAGTGGATGTTCACCTGCGTCTCCGGCGATCGCGGCTCTTTCACCAGCTTGTAGTCGACGGCGAAGCGTCCCAGAGCGATGACGGCGTGACCGCACATGGTGCTGTAGCCCTCGTTGTGCATGAACAGCACGGCCAGGTCGGCCTCCGGCAGCTCGCTGTCCACGATCAGGGCTCCGTACATGTCGTAGTGGCCCCGCGGCTCGAACATCAGCAGCCTCCTCAGGTGGTCCAGGCGCTCCCGGACGTAACGGCGCTTGGCGAGCAGGCCGTCACCTTTGACCTCCGGGTAGCCGCCGAGGATGATCCGCAGAGGCTCCCCGCCCGTGTGCATGTCCACCACGGAGAGCTCGCCTCCCTCATGAGGCGGAAGCTGCATCTCCATCTCAGAGCTGATTAGAAAGAAATCAAAACACTTTTCACAGCTCAGCAGGGAGCTTGTTCTCCCAGTTTAGCTCAGTTATTTCAGTCCCAAGTACAAAAGGCAGACTACAGAGTGTTTCCTTCACCTACAGTACAGAGCACCATAAAACTATGTCTACAGTCATCCTCGGATGTATTCACACCCTCCCACTGAAGAAAAAGCAAAATCCACGACAGTCACTCAAACAACTAGAAACTGAAAAAAGTGATAATAAATAAAAATTTGCTAAATTATAATTTAGTGAAATAAGACGTTGCTTTTGAATTGTGGTTGAAAAGAAAAATTTTAAAAAACAAAAAACAAAACTGTCCTGGACAAATGAGAGCACTTTGCTGATGAGCAGTGAAATCCAGAATACCTGTCAACAGTCTGACTGAGAGTTACAGAAAACACCTGATTGGCTCAAAGGGTTGTTCAACTAAATATTAGTTTACAGGTCCCATGATGCTGGTTTAATTTTTTTAATTTAATTTTTTTTAATATTTCTGTTGAACCACAATTCAAAAGCATCGTCATGATTTTCAGTAAATTTTTATTAATTATTACTTTTGTCAATTTCAACTTATTTCAGTGACTGAAGCTGTTTTGTTCCTTCTTTAATGGGAGGCTATGAGTACATCTGAGGACGACTGTAAATGATAAAATTATTGAGTCATTGCACAAGTTCTTACTCCAGCCAGAGAGGAAAGTTTCAAAGGAATCACTGCGGTCTGTGCAGGATGATACAGATCTCAAGAATCTGCTGCTCAAAGACAACCATCAATAGAGTCTGTTGGATTCTGCAAATGAAACACAGACATCGTTTTTCTGTCTACATTTAAACTTCACTGATGTTCCTCACAGGCATCATCAGAGTTTGCACCTAGTTTAAGGTCATCACTCGAATGATCTCTAACATAACTTTGGTTGTTTAGTGTCGATCTTTTGCTGCATCGTCTTAGAGGTCTTCAGATTTAGGAGCAAACACTCAATTAAGTCCTGCATCATAACGAAGGTTCTAATGTTTAGTTTTTGTTGGACGTGTTGCACAGAGGTGCAGACGTTCATACCACCGAGGCGTGACGAGATTATAGTGCAGGAAGCAGTCAGTGAACGTGATCCGCTTTAAAAAGACCGATGTGTCAGACTGCATGAGTTTCAGCTGAGAGCCTGGATCAGTTCACAGACCAACCAGAGGATTGTTGAGTACAATCTGACTTGTGTCTAATGCTGATGTCTGACATCTTTTAGTGACACATTATTAAACATTATTCTCATCCGTCACACAAAATCATCCAAACATCTCATCAGGTTGTTGTCAGTCGGTCTCAAACGGGCGTCTTACGAAAACTAAGAAACGTCAAAACATATTTCTTTAGGCTCATATTTAATAGTTTCATGTAATTTACCGGCAACACACTTATTCATTACTTGCATGAATTATTCTTCTCCTGCTTTTGTACTTTTAATGTTTTTTCGCTATTTTTAAATTATTCTCTTTTTGCATAAATTATGTTTTCCAAATAAACATATTATTATTATTAGTGTTATTTTTATAATAAGGTCAAATATATATTATCATTTATGAAGCTTGTGCCGTATTTCCATAAACGTTAAAAAGGACAAAAGGCTGCCAAAATTAAATAAAGGTAGTTTTTTGGATGAGACTCAGAAAAACTGCAGTAAACTCTTGTGATGTTTTCTACTTCTGCAGATAATTCTGCATGAATTTCCACATCAGACTAACAAACACTACAGACTGGAGCTTGTTCAAAACAATACATTAAAATAAAAATAAACTTTTCAAACAGAACAAACACACATTTAACCTGTTTGAATTCTACACACATCCCAACTATCTGTATATTACAGAAAAGTTGTTACTCAGAGGTTTTTATTCATTGGCTGTTTAACCTGGAAAACATTCTTAAAACACTTCCAAAGTTTTCCAGGCATCAGTAAAAGTGGCCTGACTGGTGAAAACAGCTGATCCTCTTTCATTCAGTCTCTGCTCAAGAAGCTCTGTCTGCTTTTACCTGCTTTAGGTTTAGTCTCTGTTTCCAGCTGCTGCAGTCTTCAGTCTCGTGTGGTTTTTCCTGCACGTCCTGCTTCACTTTCAGAGAGACACAAATAAGACTGTAGTGCCACCCACAGTCCTGGAGGTCTGCACACATCACATCACATCCAGGGGAAAGTTCTGCTGCTGCAGTAGAAAAGCAGAGTTTGATGTCTTCAGCTTGTTTGGTCTGCTTGATGATAATTGATTTTATTAGACAGAGTTCTAATACAGAGAATTAAACTGATGATTTCATTCTCATAAAGCCACAAATACAGACGTGGAAGTAGAAAGAAAGAAGAAACCACAACAGTTAGCTAAAGGTGGCTACAGCTCTGTTTTGAATGCAATTGGTCCTTAAATTTAAAGATTTTCCTTCCTTTAATCTCATTTCAGTGAGTTCCAGAGTTGGTAGCCTGTTATGGATAAAGCTGTTCAAATGTAGATCTACCACGTGGTATTTCACAGTTTCTACTTATTGAAGTCAGAGCAGGCCACATGTCACGCATAGGAGTGTTGGAAGCATAAAGTAACATGGAAGTACTTGAGTACGTACAGAAAGGAGGAAATGTACTTTCCATCACTGGTTGTTCTTGTCTTCCGCTTTCCATTTGTGATTATGCTCAAACAGACACAAGCTGTGGGATTAAACCTGCAGTTAACCATTTATTTTTATTATTTATCTAATAAGTTTATGAGATTTTATTTCAGAAGCCTTTGCAGACGGAGGCCCAGGATCTCTGGTCCGTCTGCGTCATGTCAGCATCCTGTGTCAAGGTAACAAAGAATTCAGAGCTTTGATGTTAAACATAAAGGTGGAGACTCTCGTTTCATCAGGAAGTCAAACATGTTTGCTCGGGGGTCACTTCTGCCCCCGATGCTGCTGTTTACTGTTATCTAAAAAATGAGCACTTCTTACGCCTCCACACCTGAATTATATGCTCATGTTTTGGATGCGCCGTCTTTCCATCCCTCTCTTGAACAACCCAAAGAGAATTTCTTCCAGTTTG